TTTGAGGCCACAACCCATCACTAAATAAAAGAGAAGGCTGCTAGGGATATTATGGAGGGAACATGTTCCAAAACAAATCAGACGAAGCTCCATGCCACAAAATGCTGCTAGAATCATAAAGGAAGGTCAACAATGTGAAGAATTTCCTGCCTTGCAGCTTGCAAAGTCAACAACCAGCACTCCAAATGTTCACAGATGAAGGATTTATGATTAATTCTTCAGAAGAGCACCAGCGTGTCTTTTCAGTAAATGCTATCAAGCAGGGTTTTTTTTTTATTTAAAAGAATCCAAAGAAAGGAGGTCGGACCCTTAAAAGTGAATGGGATTTGATACTGTAAAGACATACTAAGTGGTGCCTTTTCTGTAGCAGTGAAACCAGGTTGAACAGCAGCAGCAGCCTGTGGCCAGATTATCAACAATTAGGTTGGTTAGTTTGACTTTTTCAGCCTCAAGGGGAAAACAACAACAACAACAACAACAACAACAACAACAACAGCAACAACAGGAGATGCTAAGTGTGAGGATGGGGAAGATGGTGCCAGGGTTGAAGCAAATGCCTTGAATAGTACTGCCAACAGGGTGTTTCACAGAGCTCAGAAACAGCATGGTCGCTGCTCCAGAGAATTTACAGTCTACACTAGATTGAGATTGTTCTGTGATACACCCAAATAAACAGTTGTCACACTCTCAGCATAGAGCAGTAATTCTTCAGAGGTTTTACCATGGCATGCTAGTTTGCCACAAGAAAATTTGATTGACTGGTTGGTTGCATTTATAGCTCACCTTTTTCTCCCACGAGTCCACAGTGGCCTAAATGGTTCACCCCTTCCTCATTTAATACCAACAGCAACTCCATGAAGGATGTTAGGCTGAGAGGTGGTGATGGGCCCAAGGTCACCCAGCGAGCTTCAGGGCTGAGTGGAAATTTGAACTTTGATTTCCCAGGTCCTAGTCTGACCCTCTAACCACTACACCACACTGGCTCTCAATTACATGGACGGTAATGATTTGGGTCATCTAGAAGACTGAAACCAATTGCAGAGATATATGTAAATGCTTGAAGCTATGTATTTCAACTGCATGTGCATATGTACAAATACAAACCATACAGTCTAGAATACGAGCAGCAAATCCTTTGCACTGTCTTACTGGGGGAAAGCTCGTCCTTTGTGAAACTTGAAATATGTGTGGCTTAGTGTGCTCACTCTAACACAGGGTTGGGCAGCCTGTGGCTACCATGACTAATGGTCAAGGTCAAGGATAGTAGGGTTTCAACAACACCAAGATGACCACAGGTTCTCCATCTCTGCTCTAAGGTTACCATAACATTTTCAGGAGCTATACATTAAAATCTCAGAGAAGATTTACTCATTTGGGCACTGGTTAGAAGAGTGAATGAACGAGCGTTCACTGGGTGTTGCTACGCATTTTTTTGGCAGGACACTAAAATACCTTTCACATTTCAGGGGTGTGTCTGCATGATCATTTTTCTTAATATACATCCTCTCTGTCTCCTCTCCAAGCCTTTTCCAGCCTAGCCTTTCCAAAGCAATGGAAAGAAGAGAAAATACCTGCCTTGTTTTTGTCCCTGCATTAAGCACATACATAGCTGGATGGAACATTGCTAACGTCCACACCCTTTGTGGTAGCTAAAGGCATCCTTGAACATGTCAAACATGGAAGGACACATCTCGTCTGACCTGCTTCGTCTTCTCTGCTGCTTCTTTTCATTTTTTATCTTTTCTGTGCATGCTTTCAGCACTCATCTCGGATTTAGACATTCTGCTGAAACGACAGCATTTCAATATTAGATTTTGGCTCATGGATGATGTGGCAGGCAGGACTGGGTGGGTTCTGCTGTTCTCCACAACTGTACTCTGCAAGTACAGGATATGATATTTAAGGAGAGAATGCAGTGTTCTTTCATGCTCTCATTTAACCATAAAACATAAAACATAAAACAATAAAACCATAAAACAAAATAAAATGCATTTTTTTTAAAAAAAAAGCTAATTGTGAGAAGTGGCCATATTTTAGTGGCTAAGCACATACTTTGCATGCAGAAGATCACAGGTTCAATCCTGGCAACCTCAAGGAAGGATTGGGAATGTTATCTGCCTGAAACCCAAGGGCCAGGCAGAGAGATGTAGAGACATCTCATTTGTGTGCCTAAGGTTCCCTACCCCATCCTAGATGTCAGAATTTAAGAAGAGTTACGGTACATCTTGCTCTGTTTTCATCAGCACCCAAACAGCAGGCATTATGGCTGCTCTGCCTTTCACTTTCTTACAACTGTTTGCACAAACCTTTCCTGGAAGCAAGTGAAGAAGAATTAAAGCTACAACGTTCCATCTTCTACCTTTCAAGAATGGATGTCTATATTTTATTTAAAGGGGGGGGCAGAGAACACGAGAGAGGGATTACGCTACAACAGATGCCAGCTATTCTGAAAGTGAGATTAACTATAAACATTAGCAAACCGAGAAAGGAAAGGGAATTTAACATAATCCTTTTTGAAATTATAAATTAAAGAAGGATGATCCCTTCTTTCCTCCCTCCCATTCTATTTCATCTCCTATCTTGCCTTCTTATTTTTATTTTGACAGTAAGCCCAGCGGAAAACATCAACAGCTGAGCTACTTCTCCATTGCAAGAGGATGGGGGAGCCCAGCATTTAGAAGGGCATTTTGCAAGATTCACAGGTTATGCATCCAAAACAATGGGTTCTTTTGTCCCGTCCTTGCCATGAAGAACGTGTCTATTCTCCTGTCTTTAATAGCTAGAAATGGAAAAGAACTTGAGAGATAAAATAGGCACAAGCATATGTTCCGGCAAGATAATACTTCTGAAGTTCCAATTTTCTCCCAGACAAACTATGGACTGCTGTCACTGAAGCCTTTTATACAGCACAAGAGCTCTTACTGATGGGAACAACCTACTGGGAGGACGGCGTAAATGGAGCTGATCAACCAAGAGAAAATGATGCTACTTCAGAGTAGAGTGCTGAGGACACAAGGAGAAGGCTGAAATAAAGAGCCTGTGGTCTCCCAAGCTGCAAAATGGAATAAAGCAAAGTAAAAGCACGCAGGTTGCATATGAATTTGCACTACGCGGAAGTACCTTTTTTAAAAAAAAAGAAATAAATCTGAATTTGTCCTTACCATGGAAAAGCCAACAGTACTTTGTTAAGAGTGTTTAGAATTGTAGCTCTATGAAGGGTGAACTATAGTTCCCAGAATTCTTTGGGAGGAAGCCATATGCTTTAAATGTGCTTTAAATGTATAGAGAATATACAGCCCAGGAAAGTGTGTATGGGACAGCAGCCTTGGTGTATAGCCATAGAGAACATTCAATAATAACAGTAATAGGTGCTAACATAATCATTTTAGCCTAGCTAAATGTTTCAACGTATGTGGCAGGACAGGAAACCCATTGTCTCTATTCAGACCCCAGTGAATGGACCCAAACTCAATTACTAAAACTAGTGGAAATTAAGATTTGGAAAATGCATATCTCCTTTTAAAATGGCTGGTGTGGAATCATTTTGAGCAATAATAATACATTGGTATGCTTTAAATGGTTTATATATGTATGTAGTTTAATTCTATCAATGTTTAATTGTATTTTAATTATCAGTTTTTCTGTTTTTAGCAGTTCTTGTTTTTATTTGTAAGTTGCCTTACAAATCAGGGAGAAAGGTGGGGAGAAAGTAAATAAATATATAATAATAATTATAATAATTATAATTTTAGGGGAGGGGATATTCCTGCTCAGACCACCCAAAGAGCATTTTTTGCAATTTACTGAAAACCTCTGAAACAACTGGATTCCACAAACATGTTATAATTCACAGTGAATACGTAGCATTTCCTGAACAGTTTTGTTTAGCTGGAAAACATGAGTTGCCCTTTGTCATTCAGGATGCCAGAGAACAAATGACTGCAGCAAAATTTATCTTATCCCTTTGACAAGAAGTCACCTTAAAGTGCACTCTGGTGAGACAAGACCATGGTGAAGAGAATGAATTATTTGTCTGTTGTCTGGAACTTCGTAAACTCCCTAAATTTTAATGCTCACAATGAGTAGGAAGAATGCACTTGTTTAAACACTAATTAAGAAGCCCATATAAAGGAGGTTTCACTCCTTTATTTTCTGGAGGGCTCATTTTCTCTCTGCACAGGGCTCCCTACAACATGTGCTAAGCATCAGTATGAAGGAAGCTGTCTTACTGAGTCAGAGCTTTGGTTCATCTCAATCAGGATTGTCCACAGAACTGCTAGGAGAATCTCTGGCCCTCCAGATGTGGCTGAACTTTCATCATCCCTGGCTGAGGCTGCTGGGAGTTGCAGTGCATTGACATCTGAATTTATCTTAATGCTGCCAACTTTTTCAAAAGTACACAATTTCCCCCCATATATTCAATAAACCTTTTCCAATCTTCTTTAAACGTATGTTCTTTTTGTTCTCTTATTAAATACGTTGGGTCCGCACGCTGTGCATATTCCATCAGTTTAAGTTGCCATTCTTCTTTGGTTGAGACCTTGCTCGTTTTCCCTTTTTGGGCTAATGAAACACGGGCTGCAGTAGTGGCATACAGTGGTACTTCGGGTTACAGATGCTTCAGGTTACAGACTCCGCTAACCCAGAAATAGTACCTCGGGTTAAGAATTTTACTTCAGGATGAGAACAGAAATTGGGCGGTGGCAGTGTGGCAGTAGCAGAAGGCCCATTAGCTAAAGTGGTACCTCAGGTTAAGAACAGTTTCAGGTTAAGAAGGGACCTCCAGAACGAATTAAGTTCTTAACCCAAGGTACCACTGTACATAAATAACCTTTTTTTTGACACCTGGGAATTATCCCTAACAGAAGGACTCTGGGTGTTGTTGTTTTTTGGAAAAGTGCTTTTAAATTTTTTTTTTTTAATTCATTATTAATTATTTCCCAATACTCTTTTTACCCTTTTACAGGTCCACCACATATGAAACCAGGGGTTCAGGCAGGAGTCTCTTTCAGAGGATTGAACCTGGGACCATCTGCATGCAAAGTAGTTGCTCTACCCCTGAGCTGCTTCCCCTCCCAAAGCAGGATGTGATGTCACAGCAGTGAAGAAAAGCAATAGCACACATTGAGAAAACGTCATGCGGCAGCTGCTTAGACAGGTACAAGTATCCACTATCAGCCCCACCAAGCAGGAAAGGACTGGTAGCAAAGGTTGGCATGATTGAGGCCCACACTCCAGTAAGGGCCCACTGCCAACTATTACAGAAGTCTCCTGGCCCTTCTTCTGCTCTTTCCTCTTGCTGTTGCTGCATGTTTAGCTGTCATTTCTGAGCAAGAAAGCAGGCACAGTAAAAAAGAGAGCTAATAATAACCTCCACTTTTCTTCAGTGGTGTAACAAGGTCAGGTGGTACCCAGTGCAGAAAATTTATTGTCACCCACCTCCACATTGAAATTTTATTTATTTTTACCTGTAAAAATGTTTTGACTTTATTTCATTTGGGGGGGGGAGCCAGAGCTGTTGAGCTTTGTTTTGCAGAGATCGCATGCCTTGCAACGAGGAGTCTGCCGGCTGCCCTACAGCTGAGGGGGAGCCGTCGGGAGGACTGTTTTGGCAGTGGGAAGCCTGCGCAGGCCAAAGCCACAGTGTCTCTCACAGATGTTGAGTGCCGCACAGCATTTTTTCACCCCCTCAGAGGTGACACCTGGGGCGAACCGCACCCACCGCACCCACCTTGCTCTGCCCCTTCTTTTCTTATCCTGCTTTCCCCAAGAAGCATTGCTGCTTGAATCCAGAAAAAAGCTGCAAGTGACTTGGCAGCATCCCCTCCAATGTGAAAATGATTTGCCTGATTTTACAAGCTTGGACTTGCGGACTCGAATTGTCAAAGACTTGGAGGCACTAGCGACGGTCCTTCCTGCCACGACCATTTTTTGGTCGCAGCTCCTGGGAAGGAGCACATGGCGCAAGAGTTCATGCCCAGCTGCTACGGACAGAGCCAGAAGGCGTGTTGATTGCACTTCTTTTCAGAGGGTGCTTGCTTTGGGCGGCAGTGCTGATTCCGCACCCAGCAATTGCTTTCAGAAATGCGGCCCTGTTTAGGGCGGATGGTGTGCACCTGTCAGATGGCGGTAGTGATGTACGGCTCACTGGAATTGCAAAAAGTTTATTAGATTTGTTGTGGGAGTGAGGGTATTGGCGGCAAGCGATTGGCTCGTGTGGCGGTTAGGCATTGGCTTATGGTGAATGGGGGAGGGGAGGTCGGCCCCTCCATTTTCAAGAGTATTCCATTAAAGGAAGCCGGGGTCTGGTTCCTCTCTGAAGTCTGCTTGAGGGTGAGGGCCATGCCAGGCCTCTGGGAACACCAGGGGAGATGCAGGCGGGTTCCCCCGAAGCAATTTCCCTTTGGGTGGGTTACCCTTACAGACTTCCTGCAAAGGGGGCAGGAGTCAGACATAGTCTTGCCAATGCCTAAGCCAATACCGCTCTCATTTCTGTAATCAATAAAGTTGTGGCCAAAATTTTGCCCCAAAACCTTAAACAAAATATCTGTGTCTGTGTGAATTTATTTACCCTAATGGGGGGTCAGCTTGAGGGTCTTGCCACGCAACTACAAAAGCCATCCTGGCTTCTGATTTCATGCCAGAATGTCTCTATTTCCCCCACCAGTGCTGCCACCGCCGCCGAGCTTGGAGAAGAGGATGAGCTGGCACTTCTCCCCTAGCAGCGGGGGCAAGGGAGCATTCTGTGGCCTCTCCATGGCCCCTCCACGGCTTCCACTGCAGGCCTCCTCCCTTGGGCAGTTCATAGTGGCTGCTGTTTAGCGGGTGAGGAGAAGCTACTGCCATGGCCCAGCCCCACATGGTGCACAGGTTTTGAGATACAGGCAGAGGGCAGGGCCATCTTGATCTTTTTCATGCTTTGTGCAACTGCAACTAATCTTGCCCCTTTCTAAATTTCTTTTTATTGGTGTGTGTTTCTTTTTGTAAATTAGAAGATTTACAAAACGATTTAGAAGAAGAAAATAAAATAACATTGGGATTGAAATCGGGATTTCTCTGGACAGTGGAGTGCATGTGTGCTGTGCCCCATTGGTATAGTGCTGGTGAGACTTGTCCATCTTCTGATAGGAAATGCTCTGCTGGAGGCAGGGGCAAAAAAAAGGGCGGTCAAGGTGGGTCAATTGTTGGGGAGTCAGAAATGCCCCTATTTTCATCTGAGGAATGTTGGAGGGTATGGAGAAGAAAGTGGGCCAACTATGGGATGAGAGACATTGAACGCATGTTGCCCAAGAGCACAAGGCAGTGGACATATAGGATCAGTTTCCTTCTCCTAGATGGGCAACCTTCCCAGGTTGATGAGCCCCATCTCATCATCATCATCATCATCATCATTATCATATGCTAACAAGTACTAAAACCCAGCAGCAAGCATTTAGTGTCACTAAAAGTGGTAACAACAATATTATTGAACACAGAAGTGAAAATCTCCAGTGCGAGTCCCAAGTTTTCATCTTTACATGCCCTTTTATTTAAGAACCCAGTGTGAAGACATTCATTTCCAGTTGCTTGGAAACCTTCTGCCTGGGGATCGCTAAATGAAGTCTGGCCTCTGACCCAAAGAGAACCTTGTCAAAGCAACAGCGGAAGCACCTCGCTGCTGAAAAGACTTTCAGCGGACAGCATAGCAGCATTTAATCTGGTGTTTGCTCAGCCCCCCTAAACACATTTTAATCTCTCACATTAGTTAACAGCTGGTCTATGCAAAGGAGCCGAAGGCCATCTTTTATTTACACTGCATCCCCATTAAAGGAGAAGTTGAACTTCGGTGCACATTTCTAGTATATTAGGACTGGTGAAATAATGCTGGCGATTTAATTTGTTTGTTTGTTTAAAAGAGGGAAGAGTTTAGCGGCGAGTCAAGGCAATTTGCTAAGCAAACTCTGCAGCAGGGGGTGGATGGTTGGAAAGCCTTGTAAAACATGTCTTGAACAAGGTTCAAGGGAAGAACATCCTAAACAACACCAAATAGGGCTTTATTTTTATTTTTATCAAAAAAAAATTATTGGTTTTCCAAAATTTTTGAACAAAGAAACATGCATCTTAACTGTACTTGATCCAATTTTAGTAACATTGTTAAGTGACTTCCTCAAATCCCCCTGGCTGAATTTCAGTGTACATCATTGTAACAGTTTTCCAAAACCAATTTTCTCATAAAATTAACTTAATCACTTAACATCTTACTTTGTTTTCATTTTGACTTTAAACATATTATTCTCTAACATCACATAATTAAATCCTAAGCCTATCTGGTATTTGCAAGTTTTTTCAATTAAGTTATCTTAGCATATTTAACTAAACAGTCTTTGAATTTCATCCATTCCTCCTGGTACTCCTCCTCCTTCTAGTCGCGGACTCTTCCAGTAAGGTCGGCTAGCTCCGAAAAGTCCATCATCTTCATCTGCCATTCCTCCACTGTCGGGACTTCTTGTGATTTCCAATTCTTAGCTAAAAAAATTCTAGCTGCAGTTGTGGCATGCAAAAACAACCCAAACCTACTATTCCAAGAAGAAAGGCCTCTGGTTTTTTAATAAATGTATATTTCAACATTTTTTTCAATTCATTATAAATCTTCTCCCAGAAGTCTTTCACCTTGGGACAGGTCCACCACATATGATAAAAGGTACCCTCTTTTTCTTTACATTTCCAGCATAGATTGTCACTATTATGATGTATCTTTGCTAGTTTTACAGGAGTTTGTAAAACAGTTTGTCAAATCCCTCTAAGTCTAAAACATCAGCATCATCTAGTTGTATCCATTCCTTAACCCAGCAAAGAGCTGCTGCTTCAAAATAAATCTTTAAATCTGGCAGGGAGAATCCCCCTCTTTCTTTTGAATCCGTTAGTAATTTATATTTAATTTTGGGTTCTTTCCCCTGCCAGATAGATCTAGATAAAGCTTTCTGCCATTTTTAAAACATTTCACATTATCAATAATTGGGAGGGCTTGAAACAAAAACATCTTTGTCAATATATTCATCTTAACCACAGAAATCCGGCCCATTAATGACAATTTTAAATTCGACCAAATCTCTAAATCTCTCTTAATTTCATTCCATAATTTCTCATAATTATCTTTATATAAATTCAAATTTTTCACCGACAGATTAAACCCCAGATATTTAACTTTTTTCACAAAGAGTAGGCCCGTCTTTTCTTGTAGTGATTTCCTTTCCTCATTGTCCAGATTTTTCTCTAAGACTTTGGTTTTGCTCTTATTTAGCTTAAATCCTGCTACCTGTCAGAACTCCTGTATCGTCTCCAGTGCTTTTACTGCACTGGAGTCTGGATCTTGGAATGTCAACACCAAATCATCTGCAAAGGCTTTTAATTTATACTGTTTGGATCCTACTACTATACCTTTAATTTGTTCATCTTTCCTTATCATACTTAACAAGACCTCTAGGACCGAAATAAAAAGCAGGGGGGAAAGTGGGCACCCTTGCCTGGTACCCTTCTCAATTCTAATTTTCTCTGATACCACATTATTTACTATGATTTTAGCTTTTTGTTCATGATAGATCGCATTAATACCATTTAAAACTTTTGACCAACCCCAATACTTTCTAAATTGTATGTCATAAAACTCCAAGATACATTATCAAAGGCCTTCTCCGCATCAATAAACATTAACATTGCTTTGCAATTTTTCTTGCTTCCAACTTTTCCAAAATATCTACAATATTTCTAATATTATCTTTCATATGTCTTCCAGGCAGAAAACCTGCCTGGTCCTTATGGATATATCCTGACATAACCTTCTTCAGCCTGTCGGCCAATATATTAGCAAAAATTTTATAATCCACATTAAGTAGAGAGATTGGTCTATAATTTTTTACATTTGATCTATCTTGATCTAAGACCAAATAGGGTTTTATGCTCTTTTGACCAGGGGCTGGGCTGCTTGCATATTTTGATCAATACCTTATCAAAGTCAAAGCTAACTGAGAACAATCTTCTTACGTCCATGCAGGCCTCCTTGTAAAGTTGCCAAGCTGAGACCTGAATAA